ACAGCGAATTAAAGAGGAGATAGATTGTAATCTTCAGCTCCTCTTTCTATAAGTGATGCTGATTCGTTCAACAGACCCACCTGAGTTTATTTGCTCAGTCTGTTTCATACATGCTGAAACTTTTGCTGCTTTTGAAACCTCCTAAAAAGGTTACTGTTTTAATTACTGATAAGAATCAATGAGTAGCTTCTGATGCATTTCTTTTTTCAGTAATGAGAAAATACTGAATCCGAACTGCAGAACTCTCAGTGTTAAACTCTTACACAGACATGACTGTGTTACTTTATGCAGATCAGCTGCACATGCTATTCCAAGAACGGGCTGACAGCTCGCCACAGGCTCTGCAGCCTCGCCGTTTTTGATTTGCTGAGGTCTGCTGTGCTGCTGCAGTTTGTTCAGCTGTGGATTCTCACCGCTCTGACCTGTCTTATCAGTGATCTGCTCATTCATCCCACAGTATTGTGCGTCAGCACTGGGCATGCACTCTGGCTGCTTTCCCAGGTGGAGGGTGAAGCTAAATCGGTTAGCTTTCAAGCTGGGTCACTTGCTGGTAATTAGGGATGCACCGATGTATCTCACAGTAGTCTCATCTGTCAGGTGAAAGCCTTAGTTTCAGGAAGTGCAGCTGATGGTTGGCCCTGATATTAAGAGGCCAAAACATTTAAATAAACTCCAAACGTTCATCTTTTCAGTTAAAAGTTGTTCCTTTCTCCACATTCTGGAGATTTGCTGCAACATTCCAGCGTGTTCAGTGTGTCCACAGGCCACAGTGGCGGCGTTTTCACAGGACAGTGAGGGGTTTAGCTTTTAAAGAGGTGGACACGCTGCTAGCTCATATGTAGGATAGATAAAGCGTGCGATGCTTTATTCTCCGTGTAAACAGTGATTTACATGGTTATAATGCACTAAAGTAATGAGTCCAGCAAAGGTAGACTGTGATATTGTGTATGCTGTAACAGAAGCGACACAGTATGAGAATGTGGACCACGTTGATCTCGGTGCATCCCTTCTGTTAATGCTTCATGAATGCTCCACTGCTGCCTCGTGATTGGCTTAATCACTCTGCTAATCGCATGTTCTGTCTTTCTTTCTTTCTTGCACTCTCACCACTTCCTGCCTGCTCCACTTCTCAACCATCTGCCACACTCCTTTTTTATTTCCTGGTGTTTGCTTATTTTTGTTTTTGTTGAATGGGAATGAACCTTCATTGGGCCGTGGTGTTCCTCGGGCTTTTTTTATTGGCTGCTGTCATCTGTGACGGTGCATGACAATCGCAGCCCATCCGGCGGTTTTTTATCCCGCCCCAATCTCCAGACCTGTGCCAGTCCCCCAACTGCAGCCCCACCCGCTCCCCCGAGGTCCGCCTTAATGGGGTGGGGCCCCGTACGCATAACTCCTACCAGCCAAAGATGGGCTCGCCCATCATGCACCCCCGCACGCAGACCCTCCCTGCTAAGCCCAAAGTATCTGAGAAGCCCCTGCAAACCACCAGGTCCAACCCACTCCCTAACACGGACCAGACTGCCACCACCCCTAAATCTGAGCCCTCCACCCCGAGCCAGCCTCTGGCCCCTTGCATCCCCAACAGCCCCCGGGTGAGGCGCCACCCTCCCCTTACCGTTCCCCCCAAGCTTTCTATCCCTCTCTCCCCGGTGCCTCCGATGTCCCCACTCCGCCGCCACCACCTCCACCCTGACCACAACGCCAAATCTGTCCCCATCACGCAGGTGACTCCCCACCCCTCCCCCAGAGGGAGCCCTCTCCCAACCCCCAAAGGCACCCCAGTGCACACGCCCAAGGACAGCCCGGCTGGCACGCCCAGCCCGACACCACCGCCCAGCCCTTCCATCGGCGGCATGCCCTGGAGGACGCGCCTCAACTCCATCAAGAACAGCTTCCTCGGCTCACCACGCTTCCACCGCAGGAAAATGCAAGGTATGGTGGAGGAGACGGGTAGGGCCCAGGAAATGAAACCTCATGATTTGGCTTAATCATATTGAATTTCTTACTCTTATCCATGTGATAATCTACTCAGCAGAGTGTTTATGCGATCCATCCTTATAGCTCCGGGGAATAACAAGGACAAATAATCTCTTAATGACTGCGTTTACCTGCAGTTAACCTGACGCCAGCCTAACCGTGAGAATCTGCATCCTGAGGCCATGTCATGAAGAAGATAACGGCCTCGTTACAGACAGTGGAAAATTTACAAATTTCCCTCATTTTTTCATTAGTTTGGGTAGTTTTCTTATAGCTGCTTGGATGCTGCTGAACCAACCCCCCTCCAGACAAACCGAATTAAGTCCTGATGAGGCCCAGTACTCGTTTACACTGATGACATCTGCTTAGTAGTGCTAAAAACAAGACACAGAAGTATCTCTCCAAGTTATAGAGCCGAATCTAACAACAGCCTCTGTTTGTGTCCACAGTTCCCACCCAGGAGGACATGTCCAGTCTCACCCCAGACTCCTCGCCAGAGTGAGTACCACAGCAGCAAACATGAATGCCTCACCTGTCCATTATGTTTATGTAATAGCAGCACAAGTGTTTCAAATGTGAACCTGCAGCAGCTACATTATTTTAGCATATTGGGAATCTGAATGGTAGACTTATCCATGTGTTAGCATTTTAAGTTAGCAAGCTAACTGCGTTTTTTCGATGTTATTCATATAACACCAAATCACAGTATTATAGTGTAAGGTAACGATCCTGCAACAATACAGAGAAAACACAGGAACAGGCTCCCTGTTGTTAGGTAGTTTATTATTTAGCAGTTAGCAGTTTGTCCCTGTTAGCAGGCAGGCTAATGACGGTTATCATCAGTCAGA